GAATCGATAACCATTTTATGCAAAAAGATCAACTTCGAAATTTGACCTAATTTGACCTGACCTTGACCTGACATTCACCAAAATGCGACCAACGCTGTCCCCAAAGGCTGCCTGACCCACCTAATCGCATTTGTCATGTAAAATGGACCATAAAACATGTAGGGTAGACCGGGGCAAGTCGCCCCGCCGAGGTAAAACGCCTCACCGATGTTTCTCGGAACTGGCAAGGTTCTGGGGAAACATCCTCTCTTCTATAAAACGTGCACTATACGATCATTATATGAGCAGACTGGAAAGAAATTGTGATGACTCTTTTGGGAGATATAGCCAAAAATGTGTTTTTGGAGTGATTTTTATGTTTTGTTGTCAGATTATGCATCATGGCGTTCTTTTATCGTCCACATCAGGTTAACGACTTTAATGTATTTTCAACAACTATTGTCTAACGCTTATAATGCCGGGCTGGTTCGTGTTAAAATATGTCTTCCTGGAGTGCAAGGCGTTGTTCTCTGACCGAACTACGTGATGGGGTAAAACGCCCCAGTAGGTCGCGGGGCAAAAAGCCCCATGGGGCGTTTTACCTCATGTGTTGTTCGGACTACCCACTTCCTAATGTTCGGTAGCTGAAGAATGGTATGTTTCTATGCATTTATATGTACTTTTCTCAGCAACTGGATGGCAAAGGAAGTATTTTGTTAACATTTGCATTGCAATAATTTATTATTTGGCCTTATGAGGCAGGTGAAAAACCTGCTCATACAATAGTGTCGTAGCTGAACACCTGATAGGATGGAAGGTGCTTACTTCAGTACCGTGCCTCCCAAGGTCTAACGGACCTCTCATATAAGCTTTAGTCAACTAGCATGTTTAATCTTTAATCTAGAGTATGGGGCTTCTTGCCCCAGGCCGTGGGGCGTTTTGCCCTGGGGTTGGGGCAAAACGCCCTATTTGCAGTTGCTTCACAAACCACTTCCTAGCTGGGAGTCCGATCATCAGTGAATGAATTTGAGGGGTGGAATTTAAAGTAAAATGTCCAAAGAACGCATTGAGCACAAATTTGGCCTTCCAGGTGATGTGGGACAAAAGTTATGTAGCAAAATAAATTATCTGGGGCGTCTTGCCCCAGGCTACCCTATCACACGACACTTTCATATTGTGACCCCTAGTGACCTGACCTCTGTGACCTGACCTGGTATCAGTGACCTCAGAGAGCAATGTATGTGTTTGACGAACAATGTACCATCGATGGTTTTCAATAACTTACCAATTTACTCGACTTCACAACACATTTCTTGAAATGCCTGTGAACGGTGAAAATCCGACCTTTGACCTGACCTGTGACGTCATCGGCTTGACCTAGGTCAATTAAATTTGGTCACAAGGTAGTTCCCCGGCGGGTCTATCGAACGCCGTTTGAATTGCGAAAATCGGCCGGTAAATTGCCGAGATCTTAGGGGGCTGAAACGCCCCCCCCCCCTACGGTGGTAGGGTCCGCCGATAGCCCGACAGGACGCGGGTTAAATCTGAGTAATTACTCAGAAAGGGTTATAAAAGAGATGTCGATTGCGCCTTTCTTAGTCATCAAAGTTCGATATGCCGCCCCTATCAGATGCTAAGTGCCGCCCCCATCAGATGCGAAATACCGCCCCTAATCTTTATTGCCGACCCAGTGAAAATCCCTTTTTCCGATCTTACCTACCTGAGTCGTCGTTTTCCCTCCTACTCTAAAATTAGCCTTGAGTCACGGAAAAAGCAGAATCCAATATTACGGAAACATAAAAATGCTTATTTCACCCTCGCTTCTCCGTTCGTTATTTATTGACCACACAACAATGAGAGCCGGGCTTCGTAGACACACTGACACTCCGAGACGATGTCTCGGGTCAGACAGCATCCAAGCCCGGACTATGCTTTTAGCAGAGCTCAGATCTACCTAATCTTGGATCTACCTGCCTAAATTCAACACGGAACTGAACATTTCAGAAGCTGTGTGCGGAGAAGTGGTGAAAGAACAATCACAAGAGCCTACTACACCAACCACCAAATTGACTAGAATTATGCCTATTGCTACAACTATGCGTGCAGGCGAGCATTACGCATCACGCGAACATTGTTGTGGAGCGTAATTAAACACTGCGTCGCGCCACTTCGCTGAGGGGAGCCCTGGATAAGCCCGGACTAAGTAGAACCGCCTCTGCGTTGTGGCGCGCCTCTAGTTTGTCCGCGCTGGGCTCGCCCGTGCGACCCGGCCGCGGCCGCGGGGCATTGGCGGAGCCGGCCGGCTGGCCGGCTGTGCTCGGCGCGGCCGCGCCGGGCATTCGGTGTGCGGCGGTGGACCAATACAGCCTGTGTGGCTTATCGAGCAGTGTCGGAAGGGGCAAGGGCCTCGGTAACAACATCACAAGAGCAACATCTTCCACTTATAGCATCTACAATCAGCATCTCCTATTTCGGCGCAAGACACGGGCAACAGCCAACAATCATATACCTATATACTGGCCAAAAATACACAATAGGACACACATCACACATAGGTATCAGTTTCTTGCCGCCCTGGGGGTGCCCTCAATGGTGTCAGGCAGCAGGTATATAGTTCACTGCAGAGTAGAGGTGGCAAAATGTGGACCCGAGGACCCGGTCCAAAGAACCAGTCTGGACCCATATGGGTCCAGACCGGTTCCTGGAAATTTTCTGACGGGCCCAACCGGGTCCTACCATAAACTATACATCTTGCACACTACACATTATTGCAAAATATGAAGTGAATGTTTCTTTGCACACAGTAACTCATGAGTATTCCCAGTGGGAAATAGGCTGTTTTACATGATGCAACTAATGATTCCTACAAGTAGTTTGTATTAATTGACTTTTGGGGAACGGGTCCAACTGGTTCCGGTTCCAACTAAGACCGGGTCCGACTGGTCCCAGAAATGTCCAGCCGGGTCTGGTTCGAGTCTGGTTCCCAAAATTTTCATCTTTTGCCACCTCTACTGCAGAGTGGCTGAGCTTGCAGCAGCACAATCGGTCATACGCGTATATTGTGTCCATAGTCCTGCGGGTTATGAGTCCCTAACCCACTACGTGCTAGCCTATGCTAGAACTGATCGGGGTCGCTATATAAATACATATCTAGAAATCCCATCGTGTAACTTGCAAATCTCATCAAAGAAATTGGTCATAGGTACTCTCTCCCAGCGGATTCACGCTCCAGGAAAGAGTAAGTTCTCAGTTCGGGGTAGTACAATATAGGCACTCGCCTCTGTCTGGTCATCCCCAAAAGGAAATTTTCTTGGCGGGGCGAGGATCAAATGTAATCCTGACTCCTAGGTCAGTAAGACCTGCTAAGCAAATCCCTTCATAGACAAAATAGGTATGTCACGTTATTTTTGAACAAGAAATTAAACGCTTACTGACGCGGCATAACCGTGTTCTAGGCTCCGAAATCCACCCATTTGCACTAGGTACTGGCAGTAGCGCCTGCACGGCACACCGAACGCTTACCGAAACAGTAGTACAAAACGACAGATGGATAGACCTCTGAAATATGCCTCCTCTTATCTGACTAATCCCGTATCATTGCAACATCCTCTCCACAGTCCACAGCTAGGGAAGAGTACAAGTAAGTACAGGTAGGGTCATGTATAGTCGGTCAAATATGTATCTTTCCCGGCCGCCAAGTGGCGCTACGGTCTGGATTCGATAGTTGGCTGAGCCCACACCCCAGCTGCCCTGGCGGCTCTGGCGGCCCTGTGACGTCACGCGCGGGGGGCGGAGCTACACAGCGGCCGGCTGGAGAGTGACCGCAGACCAGCACTGGACGGCCTCGCCGCCGAGTGCTCCGGCGGGTCTGGCCGGGAGAGGCGAGCAAGCGGATGCGTTAGGAATCTAACGAATGTGAGGGCAGCGCGATGGTCTAATGATGGCTGTGCTTTCATGCGCCGTGTAAATTGTAGACTGAGTGCTATGAGCTATCAAAGGATTATCTGGTGTTTCAACAGGGGTCGCTGACCTAAAAATTAAGATGGTTGCTCTTGATACGATCGAATGCTTGGTGATATGATGATTAGCGCAAGAGAAATATTTAATCGAATTATGACCGGTTATTTTTTGATAAAGCAAAAACTTTTTTCATTTTTTTGGCATTAACGGGAAAGCGTTAAGCCATATCTACTGAAAATCTTAACCTGCGCCGGGCCGGGGGGGGGGGCGATTTGCGCCCCCCCCCCAGGTTTTTCGCAGATAGCCGAAAAACGGCGGCGTGCAGCGCCACCAAATTTTGCATACCTGTGTTTCCATCTATTGCGCATACTGTGTGCGAATTTTGACCTTATATGACTTAAGGTCAGGTCAACAGGTCGGTTTGAGTGACCTAACGTCACAAAAAGTTTGAACTTGCACCAAAGCTACAACTGTTGATATGCAGATGCAGTGATACGGCATCTCAAACCTAGAGCGACTACACTCAAGTTCAAGCTAACGGTCTCCACTCTCCAATTCAGATACCTATCGAAACCTTTCCGCGACCCGGTGCTGTGGCTCAATCAGTGGGCCAGCTGGCCGCAGACCATACCCGCAGGGCATGAACCTTTGACCATATTAGGTCAACACGCCGTGGCCCCAGCCCGCTCGCCAGGTCCGCGCTCATTGGCCGACGCGGCAACCGCACAACCTGTCCCCTCCCCTCCGTAGTACTCGCAGCGGCCGGCGGATTCAGCCAAGTTACCGACCTGCCCAGCGTGGGGAGGGCCGGCCGGGAAAGACACATATTTGACCGACTATACACCTAAGGAGCAGGCAGCAGTCGTCCGCAAATATTGAGTAGCTACGCTCCAGTACTAAATTTAGGCTGTCATACAATACGAGTATGTATGTACATGTACATGCGCGTGAACAAATCCTGTTTGCTACAATCTGATCTGATACCATCTTATCTGATCCTGTTTCTACAACCACCACTCGGCTCCGTACGCCCCTGGCTACCTCCACTGCCCCCCCCCCCCTTACCGGAAGCGGCTGGTGCCGGCGGCCCTGGCGGAGCCCCGGTCCCTGTCCCGCCTGTCGTCGGGCCGCCGGCCGCCGTGCTGGCCCGGCGGGGAGCGCGCTGCGCCGTGGCGTCTCACTGTAGGCCGGCAGCCCGAAAAAGCGCTAGAAATTCCCCCAAACTGACTGTCCGCAATATGAACAAAATAGGTATCATTTAATCCCAAATTGATCGAAGAATATGATTCCGATGCCATTTTTGCCCTAAGGTCGAAATTGAGGTGGTCAGTTGTCACCAAACACAAGACTATTTAGACTCGCTAGTGGCCACCACATTTGCCGATTTTAATGTTAATCTTTAGTTGATATTTATTAGTTGACCAGTTGTCGTTTTGAACGCAGTTTTCTGTCAGACTAGGTCAGGGCACTGTTGTTCACTGTACCAACAACATTCTTACATATTGCATCGCTTTTCTGCAAGATAAGCTAGCTTTTTGCAAGCAGCTGCAAGACCTAAATAAAAATCATGTCTAAATTTTTAAATAGACTTTTATAAAAACGTTATTTCGAGCAGCTAAAAATAAACATCTTATACTAGCCGCTGAGTACTCATCTTTCGTTCCATATAGGTGCTTTGCTGCTTTTCCCTGCTACTTTTCGAGATATGCGCCAGTAAACCACATGATGTAGGGGCAATTGTCACCTCGCCGCTCTACTGAATGCCCGGCATTCTTTATAGCGCTGGAAGTTGTGAAAAACTAACGCTTATAATCTGAATAAAATATATGTCCCTGAGCTCAGAATTGATCAACGCACACAATGCTGTCAAATTTTTTGGGCCAAACTAAAAAATTCAGTCATTATTAACCCCCAAACACAAGTAAGTGATAATCAACAACAACTTGCTCTTAAGTTAGACTTTTTGAGAAATGTTATTTCGAGCCGCTAAAAATGACCGTGCCATACAAACCACTAATCATCTTTCTGTCATGCCCTACTCGCAATTTTTGCTAATGCCTGCTACTCTTCGAGGTCACGTGACATCACCATTAAAAGTAAATGGGGAGATAAGGAAACTGTTGTTTTTGCGCATGGAATGATCTCAAACTATCTCAAGCACACGGAATCGTGATTTCATGCACTCCTTGCAAGATCCGATGCTTTACTTTTGCATTTTTGACCTTCCGTGACGTCATTTATGACGTCACTACGGTCATAGGAGTTTCTTGTCAATAACTCATGATCAAATTGAGCCAGCGACTCGGGAAAGCCACCAATGGACTCGGGAAGACCTCCTGAATCGAATGATATGCAATACGACCTCATTCGATTAAGTTCGTGGCCTGATGGGCTCTGACCTGACCTTGACTCGAGGTCAACACCTTAAGTTGACCTCACCCGAACAAAAAGTATACCATTCGACGCGCCTGAGCCAGGCAAACACGATGGTGCCAAAATCGCTGCTCTGCGGCCATTTTATGCGAAATTATTTACCAAAAACCAAACCCTACCTTGGGCTTTTTGACTTCACCTCAGAGGTTACCGGTTGACATGGGACCTTAAAATCGGGTATCAATCGTTCCGTCTTGAAACGGCGCACACGCTTGTTTTTTCCGCGAGGCTCTAGCTCCATTAGGGGCGAAACGGCGAAAAGGGGTCGTACCAACCCTCCCCCCTCGGCCGGCCGAGGGGGTGGGGGGTCCGACAATAGGTCCGGCGAGGGTTAAGCAGCCCCACTTCGTTTTTAGCATGTTTGCTTGTCGCTGAAATCAACAACTCAATCACAAATAATTTCTAGCACTTTTCCGGGCCCCCGGCCCAGTGTGCGTCTGTCGCGCGCGCGCCGCTTCCCCGCCGGCTCCTCGTCAGCCAGCTCCCGCAGCAGCCGCTTGGCCTCCGCGATCTTGTGCTCGAGCCGCTCGCTGCTGGGCAGCGACTCGAAGCTGCCGGCGCGGCGGCCCGGCTCGGGCGCGGCGCGCGGCTCCGCCAGCTGCGAGTCGTCGCGGGTCCGCCGGCGGCTGGAGCGCCGCTCCGGGGGCGGCGCCGCGCCCGGCAGCTGGCGGCGCGGCGGCGGCGGCTCCCGGCCGGCGCCAGCTGCACCGCCGTGGGTCACCAGCTGCAGCAGCAGCGGCTCCGCCAGCTCGGACGGGGCGCGCACCAGCTGGCCGCGCCGCTGGTGCGGCGAGTCCGGCTTCGTGGTGCGCTTGGGCTTCAGTGGCGACTCCTGCGTCCGGCGCCGGGTCGGCGAGGGGTCCTGGGACTTCTGCGGCGAACCCTGCTCCCCTGAGCGCCTCTTGGTTGGCGAGCTTTGCTCCCCAGACCTCCTCTTGGTCGGTGAATTCTGCTCCCCAGACCTCCTCTTGTTGGGTGAGCTCTGCTCTCCGGACCGTCTCTTGTTCGGCGAGTCCTGCTGTGGCGCTGCGCGCCGGCTGCGGCCGGAGCCGGCCGACAGTTTGTCGCGCAGCGCGGCCGGTAGCCTGCGCAGCCGCGAGTCGCGCGCGCCGTCCTGGCTGCTCTGGGACAGCTTGGAGACGGCCGTGCGGCCCGAGGAGCCCGAGCTGGGGCCGCTGTCCTTGCTGACGGCCGCCCAGCCGGGCCGGCGGCCGGTGACGCGCTCCACCACCGCCGCCAGCACCTTGCGCTTCAGGTCGAACGCGGCGAATATGAAGGTGCCCTGCAGGCCGTTGAAGATGAGGAACGGGTACCAGAGCCAGTCGGGGCCGCCGAACCGCGCTACGAAGCCAAAAATCTGCCGGACATAGTGGGACGTACAGCGCACGAGACATTGGTGGGCGTGTCGTCCATTTTGTTTAATTTTTAGCATTTTTAGAGGCTTTATAGTCAGTGAAAATCGGCAACTGAGTAACAATTCATGTAAGCACACGTGTTGTCTGAATGAACGTCTTTAGAAACAGCTGAATAAATATAAGTATGCGTAACTCTTCATTTTCCATCGTACATCCTTTCAGATATTTTATATAGAAAAAAGGAAATTGTTACACATTCAGATAGCAGCTTATTCACAAGTTTCAATCATTTCAACATCCAAGTTCTTCTAGGAATAAGTGACTGAAGTAAAAGTTGACCAAAGCGGGTATATATTGACAAAATACCAAAGAACGTCACTCGCGCTCACCCATCCAAGTCCCATCAGCAGGGCCAGTTTGAGGTACAGCGCGAACCGTATCTTCTCGGTGCGCGCCTGCCGGCTGGACAGCGCGGGCGTGCCCTTGGCCGCCTGCTGGGCGCCGGTGGACGGCGGCGCCTCGCGCTGCTTGCCGGCCTTGGACCGCACCATGCTCTCTGACCGAGTCATGGCGTACCTGGCGGTGGCAGAGGCGGTCGTTAATCGTGTGACTGGGTGTCTGTCTTGGGTGATAGTATGGCTCACCCAGTGAGACTTTGTTAGGAACTTCCACTACCCGTATATCATTCCGAGTCGCCTTGGCTTCAGAGCAGTTAAGCACCCACGACACGGGTCACCAGCTCCACACAGGCGGATTCAGCTGACCGTCAAATCACTCGACCATTAGGAACCGCGACCAGCGCAGCGCGCTGAGGTACCAAACAGCCCACCGCCTAATGGACTGTGGTCAATGGCCGCTGGCTCTAACCTGGCTCAAGCGCTGAAAGGTCACGTGGTTCGCTCCATTGGCCACCGTCGTGACCCTTATTTTACACGGAGAGCCAGATACAGCCAAATTCTCTTCACATCCATGTAATTAATCAAATGCCGAACACGAGCCAGCGCCCGGCCTATAGGGGCCGCCGAGGACACTGTCCGGCTCGTGTTCAATTTTCTGCTGACGACGCTCACCTGCTGGCGCGCGTCTGCACATAGATGCCGTGCACGGTGATGGCGAACAGGACGGCGTTCTCCAGGATGACGGCGCCGACGGGCAGCGCAAAGAACAGGCCCAGCGCCGACGGGTTGTTGAACCAGCACAGGTGAGTGGCGTACCGCGGCCTGTGGCACAGAGGTCAGAGGTCACAGGTCACAGGTCACAGGTCAGGGGTCAGGTCACTGGACAGGAATCAGAGGGCAGTGTCAGAAGTTAGTGTCAGAGGTCAGTGTCAAAGGTCAGTGTCAGGTCAGTGTCAGAGTCTAGTGTCAGAGGTCAGTGTCAAAGGTCAGTGTCAGGTTAGTGTCAGAGGTCACAGGTCAGAGGTCAGGGGTCAGGTCCCTGGACAGGGGTCAGAAGTTAGTGTCAGAGGTGAGTATCAGAGGTCAGTGTCAAAGGTCAGTGTCAGGTCAGTGTCAGAGGCTAGTGTCAGAGGTCAGTGTCAGAGGTCAGTGCCAGGTTAGTGTCAGAGGTCAGTGGTCAGTCTCAAAGGTCAGTGTCAAAGGTCAGAGGTCAACGTTCAGTGTCAGAGGTCAGTGTCAGAGGTCAGTGTCAGAGGTCAGTGTCAGAAGTCAGTGTCAGAGGTCAGTGTCGCAGGTCAGTGTCAGAGGTCAATGTCAGAGTTAAGTGTCAGAGGTCAGTGTCAGAGTTAAGTGTCAAAGGTCAGAGGTCAACTTTCAGTGTCAAAGGTCAGTGTCAGAGGTCAGAGGTCAACGTTCAGTGTCAGAGGTCAGTGTCAGAGGTCAGTGTCAGAGGACAGTGTCAGAGGTCAGTGTCAGAGGTCAGTGTCAGAGGTCAGTGTCAGAGGTCAGTGTCAGATGCCAGTGTCAAAGGTCAGAGGTCAACGTTCAGTGTCAGAGGTCAGTGTCAGAAGTCAGTGTTAGAGGTCAGTGTCAGAGGTCAGTGTCAGGTTAGTGTCAGAGGTCAGTGGTCAGTGTCAAAGGTCGGTGTCAAAGTTCTGAGGTCAACGTTCAGTGTCAGGTCAGTGTCAGAGGTCAGTGTCAGAGGTCAGCCGCAGTTCAAATGAGAGCCGGCCTGGGCACAGGAAGGGGTCAAAGGTCGGAGGCTAGCCGGAGGTCAGTTGAGAGATGATCAGGGGTCAGATGAAAGATCAGCTGAAAGGTCAACCAAAAAGTCAGTCAGAGGTCAAATGGAGGTAATTCAGAGTTCAGATGAGATAGCATTCAGAGGCCAGATGAGTGAGATGAGAGATCCATCGGAAGTTCAGGCTGGCCAGTGTGAGCTCATTGGAAGTCCCACACCCTATGGCACTATCGCTGTCACTCGGACTGTATATTCTCGGACACTGTATACTCTGCTGGAACTCACCGGTAGAAGGCGAGCACGCCCGACTGGTCGATGAAGATGGCGATGCCGACAATGAGCGCCGGCAGACCCCAGGCATACAGCGAGTACAGCCGGAACGACTTACGGCGGGCGTCCGGACTGTGGGAACACAGCACACAGCATACATCACACAGCGCACAGCACACAGAGAACAGAGGGGTCACAACAGGCGTACAGCGAGTACAGTCGGAACGACTTGCGGCGGGCGTCCGGGCTGTGGGAACACATCACACATCACACATCACACATCACACAGCACACATCACACAGTACACAGCGTACAGCACACAGAGAACAGAGGGGTCACAACAGGCATACAGCGAGTACAGCCGGAACGACTTGCGGCGGGCGTCCGGGCTGTGGGGACACAGCACACATCACACATCACACATCACACAGCATACAGAGAACAGAGGGGTCACAACAGGCGTACAGCGAGTACAGTCGGAACGACTTGCGGCGGGCGTCCGGGCTGTGGGGACACAGCACACATCACACATCACACATCACACAGCATACAGAGAACAGAGGGGTCACAACAGGCGTACAGCGAGTACAGTCGGAACGACTTGCGGCGGGCGTCCGGGCTGTGGGAACACAGCACACATCACACATCACACAGCACATATCACACATCACACATCACACAGCATACAGGGAACAGAGGGGTCACAACAGGCGTACAGCGAGTACAGTCGGAACGACTTGCGGCGGGCGTCCGGGCTGTGGGAACACAGCACACATCACACATCACACATCACACAGAGAACAGCGTAGTCACACCGCGAGTACAGTCGGAACGACTTACGGCGGGCGTCCGGGCTGTGGGACACATCACACATCACACATCACACAGTACACAGTGCACATCACACAGCACACAGAGAACAGAGGGGTCACACCGCGAGTACAGCGAGTACAGTCGGAACGACTTGCGGCGGGCGTCCGGGCTGTGGGAACACAGCACACAGTGACACAACACACATCATACCTCACATCACACAGCACACAGAGAACAGAGGGGCCACAACGGGCATACAGCGAGTACAGCCGGAACGACTTACGGCGGGCGTCCGGGCTGTGGGGACACAGCACACATCACACAGCACACAGCACACACCACACAGTACACAGCGCACAGCACACATAGAACAGAGGGGTCACAAGTTCAGGCATACAGCGAGTACAGCCGGAACGACTTGCGGCGGGCGTCCGGGCTGTGGGAACACAGCACACAGCACACATCACACATCACACAGCACACATCACACAGTACACAGCGTACAGCACACAGAGAACAGAGGGGTCACAACAGGCATACAGCGAGTACAGCCGGAACGACTTGCGGCGGGCGTCCGGGCTGTGGGACATGGGCATACAGTCAGAGGACAAATGGCCACAACAGACGCACAGAGGAACAAACACTAGAATGGCTCGATCGATGTAATGTTTGTAACCCAATAGAGCACAAACTGTTCACTTGGAGTCAACTCTATCGACTCTTCTCTCCTTGGCGGGGTTGGATCCATCCCAGTTGTCGCCAGAGTCATTAGCTGACCCCTGATTGGTTATCGGCTACTTTTTGTTCGCTTATCGGCTAGTCCTGATTGGTCGTCGGCTTGTCTCTGATTGGTTACTAGCAGGGATGCGGAGCCGGAGCCGGAGCCGGAGCCGGAGCCGTCAAAAAAGGGGGCGACTCCGGCTCCTTTTCTTACGAGGAAACAATTATTTACCTAGTTCGGTTTGACAGTACAAGGCGTAAAACAATGTGGTATTCAAAATAGCCTTGTTATACAAATACAGAAGCAACGTGTACCAATCCCATCGCCTTTTTTCTTCCACCCGTATTTAATTGATCGCATAGGGGATGTACTGAGTAGAAGCCGGAGCCGGAGCCGCCGGAGCCGGAGCCGCCGGGGCCGGATCATTTTACTCGGAGCCGGAGCCGGAGCCGGAGCCGCCATGACATTTCACCCGGAGCCGGAGCCGGAGCCGGAGCCGATTTTTTCTCCGGAGCCGGAGCCGGAGCCGGAGCCGTCTGAAATTTCCGCGGCTCCGCATCCCTGGTTACTAGTCTCCAATGCACCCTGGTGTTGTTCAAATAAGACTGTGCTGTGCTGTGTTAACTGCCGTGCACTCATGAAACTTTTCTGCAATTTCGTTCCACATGAAGAATAAGGAATGCTGATTTCAGCATTAGCATATCGTAATGTTATGAAGATCGTGAGCGCAAGCCAGAACAGCGCCATTCTCTGTTCCCGTCGGTTGGTGTCGACTGTCAGAAGTGACTTCTCCCGCCTCGGACTCTGGCAGACGTAGCTAACGACTCCGTGCGTCTCTCAGTGCGGCGGCCGGCGGGTCTGTCTCCGGTACCGACTCCGGCCGGCGGGTCTGTCTCCGGTACCGACTCTGGCTGGCGGGTCTGTCTCCGGTACCGACTCTGGCTGGCGGGTCTGTCTCCGGTACCGACTCAGTCCGGTGGGTCTGTCTCCGGTACCGACTCAGTCCGGTGGGTCTGTCTCCGGTACCGACTCAGTCCGGTGGGTCTGTCTCTGGTACCGACTCCGGCCGACCGCGTCTCTCAGTCCGGCGGCCGGTGGGTCTGTCTCCGGTGCCGACTCCGGCCAACCGGCGGATTTGTCTCCGGTACCGACTCCGGCCGGCCGCGGCGGGCGGTGTCTCCGGTACTGACTCCGGCGGCCTGCGGGTCTGTCTCCGGTACCGACTCCGGCCGGCCGCGGCGCTCCGTCAGGCGGCCGGCGGATTTGTCTCCGGTACCGACTCAGCCCGGCGGCCTGTGGGTCTGTCTCCGGTACCGACTCCGGCCGGCCGCGTCTCTCAGTCCGGCGGCCGGCGGGCGGTGTCTCCAGTGGGCGGCTCAGCAGGTGTTACACACCACAACTACGTGCCAACTGCCGTCCCACGGCGGCGCCGAGACCGGGACCGGGACCGGGACCGGACCGGGACCGCGGCAGATGGTCCCGCCGACCGACCGCTGACTGCCGCCGGGCGTATTGTTCACCTTCAACAGCAGTCGGCTGTCGCTGACAGACTCCTGTGGTGGTGAATAAGGTGCCGTTCAGTCCGAGTCGGCCTGTCCCAGCGGCATCGTCATGCTGCATGTGTGGATGTGTGTCGTGCTGGCACGTTTGGGGGCCAAAGTTCGCGATGCCAGGATGAATTTGAAGAAGTGGGATAGCCTTCCAGAAGCATTAACGGTCCGGAAACTGATATAGGTAGGATAGCGGCACTGCCAGGGTGCAGCGCCTGGTGTCAGCAGAATAGATGGGTCATCCCCCGTCACGATTGCTGTTGCTGTTAGACATCAATGGCTAGGTAGGTAGTCGTGTTTTAACCCTCGCCAGGCCAGGACCTTTTTCATAACGTGGACGGCCAGGGGCGGGGGGGGGGTACGACCCCCTGGCGATTGGCTCCTATGACACTTAGAAACACCAAATTGTACAGGGTAGGTGGGCCCATAGGACATCCCGCCCCTGTGCAGATTTGGTTGCTCTAGTCAATATTTAGGGGGGCTGGGGTGGGGTGGGTGTGGGGACTTAAATGTAAAAAAAAATCGCTAAAACAGGTCAAAGGTTTTGGCCTATAATTTTTGATCTGGTAAGGATAGAGCAAAAACAAAAGCACCAGTGAACTTCGCGCGTTCTTGCGCATCGAATGGTAGGTATGTTTTTTAGCCAGTCTAAGTGACCTGACATTTTTCCTAATTAAGTAAATTTAAATTCATTAATTAACCCTAGAACGCCTAGGGGGGGGGGGTTGTATCAACCCCCCCCCCCTGAGGTTTTTTCGAAGTGCACGCTAAACGGCTTGTCGTAGCGGGCTGAAATTTTCAATACCCTCTGGGGCAACCTTTGCGCATCTTTTGCCGAAAAAAATTGATCGGGTCATGTCAGGTCACGGAGTTATGACGTCATAAGAGGTACAGCCTCCGGCCGACAGTTACCAAACGTGTGCGCCGAATCCCTAGGTTTTCTGCCGGTGACAGAGGCGGATCCAGCTCAGAGGTTTGGGGGGGGGGGCAAACCATAAAAATTTATCGATTCTTTCCATGCATCGTCCATAGGCGTAATGTTAAAATCATGCCGTTTGGGGGGGGGCAAATGCCCATTTTGCCCCCCCCCCTGGATCCGCCACTGGCCGGTGATACCCACATTGTTTGATGGATCATGATGAAACTTCCCATGCATGTTGGGGCAAGCATTGGCTATCGTGTGGTGCAAGAAAATTGACCGGGTCAGGTCAGGTCACGGAGTTATGACGTCATAAGAGGAACAGCGTCCGGTACTATTTTTGAAAAGCGCCCGAACCACTATTTTGCTAATTCTTGTCACCTCAATGGGAATATGCAGCAATATTAGCTTCTATAAGGAGCAAATGGACCTTCCAAATCCAAAAATACAATCAGATTTCAAAAATTTAAATTTTGATTTTTCGAATTTCTGCCGCCGACTGTGACCTTGCCGACTTCCGGCGCTCCCAACGCGCCATTTTTAGAGCTAGGGAAACGAAATACATACCAAACGATAGAGAATTGATCAAGGAACACGATAGTGAAGGTTTCAAGTCGATATCTCCTACCGTTTTGCCGCAATCGCCGCGGAAAGTTGAAAAAAGTCTATTTTTCCGAAAATTTGACCTTTGACCGGTCAAAAGTAGGTCAAATGTTGACCTAGGACCAAAAAATATACCACCAATCGCGAGATCTCGTTGAGAGCAATCCGTTGGTTTTTTCCGCTAAGCTCTACAACCTTCCGTTTCGAAACGCCAGGGGGGGGGGGTCGTAACAACCCCCCCCCCCCTGGTCGTTCGTGTTATGAGAAATGGCCTGGTCGTGCGAGGGTTAAGCGCAAATTAATCCACTTTACTAGCAAATAGTTTGACCTTATTTGACCTCCGATGACCCGACCTAAGTGTTTTAGCAAGCAAACATCAAACTCATCTTGTATCGATCTGAACTGAGCTGTTAGAACACAAAAACGTTGAAATAGATCATATTTTACAATGGGGGCTATTCGGGCAAAATTTTGGATCACTAATATCGTGCTACTTTACTCACAGATGATATTTTTAAGCATTTA